GTATTTACCTAAAACAAATTAGCATTTGTCCGCTAGAAGCTTATTTGAGTATTCCATCTCTTCATCTCACACTAATGGAAATTTACCATCTTTCATCCAACAAGTGAGTCTATTGATTGAAACTGACATATCATTAACTTCGCATGCAACTAAAAGTCGCATATAATTAACTCCACATATCTTTTTCTCCGCCGGAGGCACTGATTCAGTAATATCTTAGTGCACTTGTGCGAATAAGATTCTACCATAGAATTCGCCGGGTCAAAACATATCTTCACCGTCTAGTTAGATCACCTGATGTGTATTTCGATGGGGTTGATTGTCAAAGGCCTGTGCACCTCCTTCCCCTACCCCACTCGCCTTCTCCCTCTAAATCGTTTAATAATTCTATCATTCTCGTATCCAGCTATTTATACTCGAACTTTTACACTCTATGGTAAGATAACTCTTATTTTCAATTTGATAAAACTTCGATGTGCTCATTTAGATAAAAGAACAAGGTATGCATAGAGTCTCACTTGAATTTTCCATACTTGTACGCGTCTGCGATCTTACTCAATTCAAGTTGTAACTTAATTAAGATACAATTCCCATGGCCAATATCTTGTAACCACCGCGCGTTCAACAATATCTGTAGTGATTAATAGCTGTTCTGTCGCTCTTTATAATAACACCTACTGTGCTTTTTAATAATAATACAAAAAAATCTGTCGCACTTTGTAACAACAGACGAACGCATATGAAATAAAGTTAGCCGTCGCACTTTGTAATAACAGTTGTTTTACTTTATAATTAATTTGAAAAACATTAACGGAGGGATGAACTCGAGAATTATCATCATCATTATTATTATCATGATCATCGTTATCATTATTGTTATGATTGTCGCTATTAACAAGGATGACGTTTGATCGTTGGGTATACTCGCCCTCTGAGCATTTATACCAAGTTTATTACAAAGTTCGACAAGTAAGTGTTAATACAAAGGGCGATAACTTACTTTATAAGAAAGTGTAATGGTCAGTTTTTTTCCGCTAAAGTGAGACAACTTTGTTTATTGCAAAGTGCGACAATTTTATTACAGAGTGCGACAGGATTTTACAAAGTGCAGCTGAACAAAACTTCCGATCGCTGTCCTTTCAGGAAGCTTACCCGATAGACGATTTTGGCTTGGAAAGCGCACAAACAAACGAACAAACAAAAACATAGACTAAAAAACAAAAGCGAAAGCAATACGAGAATTACAAAAATTACCTTGAAACACCTCTCCAAATCCCTTTTTTCGGGAAAAAATTAAAGAGTCACTCTTTTTTTTTCTGTAAAAGGTCGAGACGACCTCATAACAAGAGTGACGCTTAATTCATTTCTACAGGGTGGTGGTGAGTAAGTATATATGTAAGTAATTCCTTTATTTTAAAGCGACAGTCATTAGAGCTGTGATACTTGCGGGGTCGTTTTAAAATTTTTCACAACCTCGCCTATTCCTGTTCGGCCAACCCTCCATGCTCATTGGCCCCCGTAATTCCCTCAAGAAGTCTATGACAGTTAGACGAAACGCGTCGGGGAATAAAGAAGTTTTGCAACTACTGTTTGCAGAAGTGGTGCTCACTAGTTTATTTTTAAAAAATAATTAAAAAATCAAAAGGAAAAGTAAAAGAATAGCAAAAAAATCTATCTAGAAGGTGAAACTAGCTAAACGTCTTGAAAACTACAATATTTCGATCGTTTAACTTAGTTCATAGATGTTGCGTGAACGTCTAGAAGATGTTTTGCAATATTCTACAAATTAGGGGATATCAGAGCAATTAGAAGATAGACCATTTGGCATTGCAATTCAATTGCTAAAACATTATTTCACTGCCTCGCACTGTTTAATTGTTCTAATACGTTTGATCGAGAGAAATGAGGGATCAGAGAAAGAGACTATTGGTCCAAGCCTTAGGACACATGCTAATTTCACAAAAGCTACATATAGTTTTCAGGCAGCTGTCTGTTTTCCGAAAGCTTATCTGGACAGCTACGCTCTCACACAGTTTGAGTGAAAGCTTCATAATGTCAGACGTCCTGAATCTTTGAACACCGTCCGCGACCAGGCCGTGAGTGCCAAACACACAGACATAAAACAATTCTTTTGTTTTTATTCCTAGCTATATGAGGATGGGCTGGAAACTGGATTTATCATAAAATGATTCTTAGCACGCAGCACTTAATTCCAGAAGACGTCCTGAATATATTTTATTGCATAAAGCTCAAAAGAAGCTTGAAAACCATGCTGCCTTGGGTCTTAAATTGGATTCCTGCTAAATACCTGAATTTTTCCTTTTTTGGTAAAATATTTAGAAACTAGAATAAAGGAGAACCTTCAAAAGAACGACACGAGTTTTATTTTC